AAACTCTTGGATTCGTGTACTAAAAACCAATACACACCTTTGGCAAGACACCCCCACATTTCAGGCATTAGTAGGAAAGCTTCCTACGTATCCACAATTCGTAAGAATTTCATGTGGGCAACCTTATTTAAAAGGTATTTACTTGTCCAAAGTATTGTCTCACCCCTCATACTTTGAGGTAGACCCGAACTTATCAACGTCTTGATATTTTATGTTCGGCAACAACGTTCGATTGAGGTGAATACCGTATCGTACGCTCGAGTACGATACTAACGCTTGCGCTGAAATCACCAATAGATGTTTTTTTTTTTTTCCACCACATCGATTGTTCATAACCGCATTAATCCACGATTAATTTGGTTTTTTCTCTTTTTATTCTTTAAAGAATAAACATGTGTTACACGCTAACACATCTCGTAGGTGCTAACAGATTAGCCCTCACGAATCCATTCGGTTTTGACCGAAAGGCCACAAACCCGAATCAGTGCTTCCGAAATTGAAGTATGAATCAGTGCTTAGTAGTGAAGCACGAAACATGCTATACTAAGCACGAATCATTGCTTCTAAACTAACGCATCGATTCCAAAGCAATCTCTATTGCTTTAAATTATAAACTCACAACAACCTTTCGTTGCTTAATTTATAATTACAGTGCTACCTGGCACTAGGATTATTAGTTAATTACACAATTAACCAAACTTCCTTTCGTGTTAATCACAAAGCACTTTTACAACGCTAAATTTAATTAGCCACATACTATACGAAAGGTTTAAGCTAAGTAGATTAGCATTATGACCAATCATAATCTAGCACCTTTATTGCTATTACTAAAGCACCAAATGCTTAAGTTTTCAACACCTAAAGGTGCAGCCACCAAGTGGCCGAAAGTGCCTAATGTTACAGTGTTTTAATTTGCACTTCCAAGTGCCAAATTAAATTGCACTTTCCATTAGTGCTACAAAAGCACTATTCACCAAAACATAATTTGTCTCAAATTAAATATACTAGTATAATTTAGAATTTTTGATCAAGTTAATTATAACACAATTAACGAGAACAAGTCAACCAAATTTTCCAATTAGTTGAATCAAACTCATATAATCGTTCTTAGAATATTATTAAAAATATTCAACACTTGAGCTGTGACGCTCACGATTATATAGTTATCCCAATTTTTGACAAATTGATTCTTGAAATCCGTATCATTCTACATGAACCTGAACCGAAGTTCGTTACGGGATCTCAACATGTAACACGCTTGTTACATTTCGTTTCGGCCGTTAAGCCATTTTAGCATTTTCCACATAATGCTCCGTGATGCACTACGCACCCTTATTGAATCTTATATATATTAAAAATATCACACAAGAATATTTTAAAATATACAAAGTTCAAAACACACAAATGGAACAATTCATTTTATTCAACAATAAAATGTATCACAAGGATACTACAACATTTATTTAACAAATAAATAAATAGGAAAATTACATTGGAAATTAATTTCCATTATTCCTATTTCGTAGTAATCCTTCAACCCGTGTGCCTTGTTCCATTCTCAACCGTCCACTCCACAAAGGGTGGTCCATAGCGCACAGCGGGGGTACCTCGGTTGTGACCTCACTCGTCCAACCATCCACATGTCTTAAACATAGCGAAGTTGTCCTCAACCTTTTCACCAGGATGACAGTTCGCTTCATAGTGGCATTTTTCTTTCTTCTCGTAATCTTCTTGAAAGATAAGCTTCCGCTTGAGTTTCCTTCGATTACGGTTGAAGTCATTGGTAACACTACCATAGTCCTCAGACCATGTAGTCATTACACCATCATAGGATCCTTCGTGGCTTTTAGCCGATCCGTTAGGCAACACAATAGGTACCAATTGTGTGCCATTAGCCACTAATCTACCGGATCGTGAACCAAAGTTCTCCGGAGCATCATCGTGTGTCTTTGCAACTCCCATGGAAATATTATTTCCAACGTTGCTGCCATCAACTGGCATCACGGAATGTGCAACATCGTTGCCGTTCCGACCATTTGAATGTGCACCTCCGGCAACATTCACGGATCCAATACTCTTGGAATCCAACGATTTGTTTATTATCAAAAAGAAATAAGGTTTTAAGATTGTTGGTGATAATGAACCACAATCGATTTAATATCCGTAAAATAATATTTATATATATACACACGAAATATATATATAATATTATTGGATATATATCCGAAATATATATATACACACAAATATATATAAAACGGACCCAACGGTTATATATACATGTATATCTACGAAAAAGATATATCAATATATATCAACCAAAAAGAAAATATAATCCTTAGATTATAATTCCAAAACAACAAGAAAAAACGGATTTTTGCTTAGAGCATAATCCAAAACAAGAAAGAAGAAGAAAGAAAGAAATGTACGAGTTAGGCAAAGTGTCTGTCTTTCCTTAAAACCTTATTTGCCACCTCCCAAAGGTGCTAGGAGCGTTGTGGCCTAGGTTTCCCAGGATAAAACGTACAACGGTTCGACGTTTGAGCACCCAAACGAACGAACCCGGCGAACTAGAGCACGGGCAAAACACAGTAGCTAGAAAGAAGTAGGAGTAGAGTTTTGAGAAGAAAATGTGTTTATCTTTGTGTGTTGTGTCTCTCTTGTTCTTCCCTCACGTTCACTTCTTTTCTAACATTGTGTTCAAAAAGGTTGCTCCCACCACATCTTTATATAGGAGATTGGTACTAAATAGCATCATCATGACACATTAACCAACATAAATTCAATTTAAAAAATTGAATTATAACGTTTGAAACGGTCGTACTTATTATCGAAATAATATCAACGGTCACGAATTTAATATCCGATTAATTCGTACCGACCATAACGACCCGTTTCAAATATCTGAGTGACCGAGAAGTCCGTACAAATCCGAAAGGTTAACGAATTGGGACCGAAAACCACACCTGAATGGTCCGCAAAGTACCGAAACGGTGTGGCACGAATCAATGCACATAACATTGACTCGTGCAGCACGAAAGATAGCTCACACGAAAGGAGCTTAATTCACTAATTAAACTTGCTTAATTACATGTAGCATCTTTCGTCCCAATTCCTATTTCACTATTTTAAGCTTTCCAAAGCTTAATTACAAGCTTGACAACTCATGTTGTCACACTAATTAGGCTTAATTAAGCTTAATCTTAAGCTTTAAGCTTTCTAAGCTTAATTTGACTTCTCTCAAATAGGTTCACTTTGAGAATCAATTTCTCATTCACCTATTACCCATTTTGAGCGTACATTATATCAAATTCTTCGTCTCACTACGAAGAACCCGAATCCACCTTGACCCGACCCAAATCGGAAGTGGATCCCACATATATTTGTACCACAAAATAATCACTCAAAATATTATTTTAATGCTATTTTTCCAACAATAGATTCATAATTTCTACATTATAGATTCATAATTTTTACACTATAGATTCATAATTTTTATACTGTAGATTCATAATTTCTATGTTGTTTTCTACACTGTAGTTTCATAATTTCTATACAGTAGATTCATAATTTCTATACTGCATATTCATAATATTTGTACTGTAGATTCATAATTTTTAAACTGTATAGTTATCAAATTATGAACATATAGTTCTGTGATTTGTGAATACAGAGTTCAACAATTGAAAATATGAACATCTAAAATTATGAACATAGAGTTCTGTAATTGTGAATATAGAGTTCAATAATTATGAATATGAAGTTCAATAATTATGAGTATATAGTTTTATAATTATGAACATATAGTTCAGTAATTATGAACACAGAACAGTGTGCACCATGCATGATGCATTAACAGTTTATTATTAACTGATTACATATAAAATAACTTATAAATGCATAATAACAACAACAAATTAAACAAAAACAAAAAATAAAAATAAAAAATAAAGACAAAGGAAAAGGGGAGCTACAAGCCTACAACGTAAATTGATGTGGGATTGACCTCACATTGACTGGGCGTTTGGTTGGAATGGGAGAATTTTGTGGGAAATGAATTGTAATTCAATGGGAGATGAATTACTGAGAATAAAGTGAGAATTTAAATTCCAGTGTTTGGTATACGGGAATAGAATTACTGGGAATTTTAATTCCAATGTTTGGTATACATGGGAATTGAAAGGAAATAAGTTGTATAAAGTCTAAAATGTCAATTATTGTTGTGGTATTAATTTTAGGTTTTAAAAAAAAAAAAGGGATAACTTTGTCTCATCACTAGCTTTTTTTCTTCCTAATAAAATCTCAGGAATTAAAATACCAGGGGGACATGAGATTTTAATTCCATGAAAATGGGGGAATTGCAGTTCCATGGGATTGCAATTCCTTCCAACCAAACTAAGGAATTCTATGGCCTTTGGAATTAAATGGAATTAAGTGGGAAGGGAATTTAAACTCCTTCCAACCAAACGCCCTGTGAATGTTTAAGAAAAGAGACACTAAACTCCGTCTATAAAAGGTGCATCACTCAAAATTTTAGTTAATGAGTCATTTACCAAACACTTCATTAGTTTTTACTAGTGATTACGTGATTTTGTCAAAAATATTATGGTTTGCACATGGGAATTCGAACCGGAATGGGTATCAAATACTTGGTAATAGTAATGGGTTTTAGTGAAAGTATTTTGCATGTTTGATAATAGGGTGGAATGGAAATAATTATCAATAATGTTGTTTGGTTATGTATGATCCAATAATGAAAAATGTTTTAATTGTTTTGACAAATTAAAATGGTTGGAGAAAACGGTGCCACTAATGACACTGTTACTCTAAAATTGCCAATCGGCATCGTATTGGAACCGTGTCCACCTTGCAAGGTGGACACAGTTCCACAGCATAACAATTGTTTTTCTACACGGTAGGGTGAATGAGTTTAGAAACAATAATTTATCAAGGTAGACATCAGATAAGAAGTATGATCATATCAATCACAGTGGCAATCATGATGCAAACCAAACAAAGCTCAATAGTCAATATCATCAACCTCTTACAGTGACTTAGTTCATCCTGATTTACATGGCACATAATCCTTCCAATCTCAACAACAAAAACATTTTTTTTAAAGAAAGAAAAAAAGATCCTAGCTGTCCCATGAATCCAATCCTTCAGAGTGCTAAAATAAAACTCCCCAGAAACAAATTATATGTCAAACCATGTAAACAACAAGAAAAGCTCTAATTTTTACAAAAGTAGTGCATTGGGGTAAACCACAATTATGACCCTTTTGGCAACTTTTGTGAACCCATGAGGGTTTTTGTCAACCAGATCGCGGTTTCCCTGGACGAAACTGTTTCTTCTCCAAATGGTCTAAGCACACCCGAGAGCTCGTCGAGCTTTTCCTGTTTAATTAGCTGAGCGCAGAGCTCAAGAAGAGACTCCAAAGCATCGGCTCTTTGTTTCGTTGGGTTTCCCCACTCGTCTTTGCCCTTGCTCAACGCAGTTAATTTACTCAGCAACAAAGCCTGATCAGCACTCACTTGATTCCCGTCTTTCTCAGCCTTATTCGAGCACTTTAACATATCAACTTCCTGTTGTGTCGGGCTTTTCACTGAAATGCAGTCGAGTGAAACTTCTCTACATTTCTCAACGTTTTCTGCTTTCCCAGCACCGTTTGAACTGCCCAACATCTCGAGTTGTTCCGTTTCCTTCTGCTCTTCGGTGTTCGAGTTTGGCATGACGGAAGCCGAGGACTGTGGCTTGCTTAACCTTTCCTTAACCGAGAATAAGTCAATGTGGCCATTCTCGTTGCTAGTTATCTCAAATGTGTCCCCGATGAAGGATTCATCGCTGTATTCGGAGAACTTTGGAGAACAGCTCGTTCGATCAACTCTCTTAGTCTCGAGCGTGGTTTCTATAGGGTCACTACTCTTTCGTAGGCTGCTCGGTTGAACGTCGGGATTTGGATCGAGCGAGAAAACCGGTATACTATCTTTTAACTTTAGCTGTCCCCGTTTGCTGTCTTTGCCACTGCTCGAGCTGCTAGGAGAAGGCTTTCCCGATTTCTCCTTTGGAGTGTTTGGAGACTTCACGGGGAGAAACACCGAGGAGAGGTTCTGGCATCGAAGAAGGTAAGGTTGCAAATGCTGATGCCTCAACAATTCCGCTGCCTAATATCGAGTCGAGTAGAAATTAGAAGAAACGATAATCATTAATCACAAACTTTATTATATACCTAAAGACCGACCATAAGTATCTTGCACTTACTGTTGGTCTGTTTTCGGGACTCTTCCTTAGCATCGTTTTTATAATCTGTTTCCTGTAACGGTCGAATTCAAAACACGAGTTATTTCAATATTAGGAAACGAGTGACACGATGAACTAACCCACTCTCCCGAGAGTAAAATCTATACTTACAAGGTGGAGGAATATACAATAGGAAGTGGCGATAAAGTACCCCGGTTTATCTTATTGATGAGGGTCGACATGTCCTGTTCAATTTAGTTCCCGTTAATCTCGATCTCCACATCTCAAGTAAAGAAAAAATATTTTCGTCTTGACATGACTAAATCGTTTAAAGCTTTTAAGTGGAACTTACGGGAGCTCTAAACGGTGGTTGATGTCCCGCAATCTCAAACATGCAGCAACCTACAATGAAGTAAAGATGTTATTCGGGACACTATTAGATGAATAACAAAGGCTCGTTGTTCGTTTTCTCACCGAGTGACCATATATCAGATTTATAGCCATATGGCATTTCCGCAAGGAGCTCGGGGCATATGTAGTTTGGAGTACCAACGACCTGTTTCGAGGTGAGAAAGCAATTAAAAGTCGGTAACAACAGCACAATAGCTAATTTCATGTAGATAGAGATAATTCATACTGAGGAAGTGACCCCTTTTGCGTCCAGAAGTTTTGCAAATCCAAAATCACCTATATTCATAATTATTTTTTTATAAACAAAAATTAAATTGAATGGCGATGATAGGAAAGGAAATAAAGGCACGTCAAAGCAGTCGGATGTGTTCTTACCAAGACGGACATCATTTTCCTTTGTGATGAAAATGTTGGACATCTGCAATCAAACAAGTTCATATTACAAGAGATAAAAATTAAGAACTACTTCATTATAATGATCGCGATTCTTTTATACCTTCAGATCTCTATGAAGGACTCTATTGGAATGCAGATAATCAACGGCTAATAATAGTTGAGTCAACCATTTGCACAGTTTCTACAGCACAAAAAAAAAAAAAAAAGTTGAAAGATAAGCGCATACTCTCTAGGTATATCAATAGAGCTTGTACTCAAAAGCAACCATTTGTTAAAAATTGCAACTGGTTACCTCTTCGGGGAACAATGCTCCTTTGGATTTTTTTATTATCTCTGCCCTAAACAACCCAAAAAAATAACCAAGTAAATATAGGTCACAAACCTATAACTCATACATAATCTCTTTACAGTAAATTGTAAAAGACTCCTAAGTTGTTCATAGCTGAACAGACCGGCTCAAACCGAGAAGGCTAGGCTGGGAGTTGAACCTAGGACTTCACGGTTACCAAGCCAACTGTCTAACCAACTCGGTTGGGATTGCCCCCAAGATGCCTAAATTTAAATATACCGAGAAGGCTCCTAAGTTGCCCGTAGCTGACTGGCTCAAACCGAGAAGGCTAGGCTGGGAGTCGAACCTAGGACTTCACAGTAACCAAGCCAACTGTCTAACCAACTCGGTTGGGGTTGCCCCAAGACGCCTAAATTTAAATATATTGTTGTCAACAATTACAGTAACTACTCACATATCTCCGCCTTGACAGTAGTCGGTAATGATGCATATATTGCTTCCCTGAAATACGATTCAAATAAAAGACTCTTAATTCAGATGCAGCTTCAGCAATACATATTAAACCTCAATTCTCGAGACCACCTATCACAGCTTCCCCTCCAGTAACTACCAAAAAATGAAGTAACGTAATACCTTTTCCACCCAAGCATCTTTGTACTCTAAAATGTACGGGTGCTTAAGTTTTGCATTCAAATTCATCTGCAGCAAAAACATTCATAAATGTCTTTGGGAAAATACATATTGAGAAAAGGAAATTATTTACGTGCTGGGAAATTGTTATTGGTCATAAGGTAAATGTCAAAGACCCTATTTAGAAAGTATCGATCACAATGTGAAAGAAACTGCTAACCAAGAACACTGGGGTAAGCTAAGTGTGATTGAGTTAGTGAGAAGGTTAAAAAGAGAAAAAGAAGAGGATAACGAGAACAGAAAAGGAGGAAGTAAGGATCCAACCAGAACAAGTTTCAGAATATCTTTTCGATTTGAAGGGCAAAAAAGGAGCTTTCAGAAATATAGATAGTGCACATAATGAGACAGTCTGCAATCAACGTGTATAAAGATTTATATTGTGCTGGAAATAAAGTAGTTGGTTCGACCTCCTGATATGCTGCCCGCTTGGTCATCTCATTCTGTTTTGCCAAAGGAATCTTCTTTAGAACATACCTATACATATAATAACGGAAAAGAGAAATATGAAATCCATAAGAATGAATAACAAAGATTTTAGTATTTACAGTAAAATTTTTAGCAAAATCTTGAGAACATCCCATGGCAAGTCACCTAATAGACTTGTGACTCGAGTACTATTACTTCAAGCTAAATAGCACTATATGATGAGAATAAGGAAGTGCATTCATCTATAGTTGTAAATGTTTCCTCGATAACAACATCCTCAATATATTCAATCATTCAAAACCCGCCACATTATCCACATCCCCATTTGTAATAAGCAGTCCCATATATATAGAAAAAAAAAACTCAAAAAAAATAAATAAATAAAACTGGGGTTTCGGGATTTTTTTTTTTTTGGTGACCAGGGAAACCCCGCCTTGTGACACTAAGCAGTAAAGGACCGTAAGGAGGTAAACTAGCCTAGGTTCCCCATAGCTGACTGGCTCAAAACAAGATGGCCAATAGGCTGTTGAGAGTCGAATTTGTAACTTTCTGGTTACTAAGCCAATCGCCCAACCAACTTGGCTAAGGTTGCCCCAGTTTCAGGATAATTTTCGATTTGCAGACAACAGCACATGGTGAAAAAAACAGAAGATGTGAGTAATTGCACATTCTTGAGGGAAAAAGTTGCAAAAAGCATCAGTTTTTATACTCTCTCTCTCTTTCTCTTTCTCAGCATAGGCAAAGGGTGAGTGTAGGTAACATGGCAGGATCAGAACACTGCATCAGTGGGAGAACAAATAAGGAATTTGACAGCCTGTCTACATGCTTAATTTTGTTTTAATAGAAGAAAGGAAAAGAAACAGGAACCAAATGTGGGAGCACAGCTAGAGGGCTTCCAATTACACAGATTATCTTCTTCAAATTGTTCATGCAAATACTTCATTTCCAGAAGATTCCAAGAAGTGCTAAACCAGAAATAAACATGTAAAAACAGGGATGAAAGTCCTCTAAATAAAGCCAAAAATAATAAACCACAACCATGTAACTCAAATCCCAGCAAGCCCTAATTAATAACCAGTGCAAATGAAGCAACATGATGTGAAAGGTGAAAAAGAAACAAGATTCTTACTTCCTTTTCTCAGCTCTATGAAAAAGAAGAAATGTTGTTCCATAAACCCTTTTGCCAATCTGCTCTACCACATCATACTCTTCCATCTTCAACCTGGAATCCACACCACCATTCTCCCCCTCCATGGCTGCCCTTCAAAACCCAGAACTGAACCACAGAAATCTAAGCCAAAGATTCAACCTTTAAGCCAATTAAACCACACCCACCTCTAATTGCACCCAAAATCAACCAAGAAAAAAGGCAACTCTCCCAGTCTTCCCCCTCAACAGCACCACAAATCAAGGAAAGATGTCTTCAAAGTTGGGTTCTATGATGTTATTGCAGCAATGATGGGTTTGGGAGGAGGCCCAGGAATTAAGGTGGTAGCATAAAAGCTTCATTCCATAATGATGTCAAGGAACACCAAGGCTGTACGCTAAACGTGTGTGAGATAAAAGCTTGGACTGCTCTACGGGGTTAGGGGATGGGTAGTTGGTTGAAGTCAAGAATACGCTCAACAAAAGCAGCTACGAATAATATTATATACCTGTCACCCATATTAAATTCTGAGGAAAAATAAAAAGATTTTCTACCTCAGATCATGTCGAAATAACAGAAATCCGATAATATAATATAATTAAATGTATGTTTATAAATGTTACTCCGCATTCAATTTTACCCTAATTAACATAAATATAATTAATGAAACTAGTGTTCATAACTCTTAAGAACAAATGCAAAATTCTGATTAGTTGCAAAAGATTCCGGTATTGTTCTATAATAATAGGTTTGGTTCACGGAATAAATTTTAAGGGAATAAAAATAGTATTTCATAGGATTTGGAATAGAATATGAATTGTATGCAACGAAACACGTATATCCAATCACACACGCAATACAATTACCCTTATTATATACTCAAAACAGTTAATATGTTAATGAAAACTTGATTCACAAAGTGTACACATAAAATTGAGAAATGAAACTTGAAAAAGCTTTTAAATAGTCTTTGTCGCATATTAAAAATATGAGTTTGAATTGTGTAACTAAGAAACTTTATTGCGTTTTGTTTATATTACAGTAAATTATAAAAATTCATGTGATGTCCTAATTTGACTGGTTAGCAGTTGATGGTGGAATAAGATGTGTACAAAGATTATAAATCAATAATTTCTTTGTTTTTTTTTTTTTTTGGCTGAATAATAATTTCTTTGTTGGTTCTCATGTTGATTGTGGAAAATATGCAAATTAGCAATAGTTGATCAAAGGTTAGCAGGAAATCATTCCTTCAATGGCGGCTTTGATTGTCAAAAGTTCTCACTATCTCATAAATGCCCTTTGACAGGAAAATGTCATCTACCCACTCAAATACATACATTTGCTTGCAGGTTTAGATTATTGTATATAATGGTCCACATACTCACTTTCATAGAATTGAAAAATAATTATATATATAAAAAAAAGTATTAATATAATTATAATGACAAGTACATATCAAGAAATGGTCCATATAATCATTTTCAAAGAGAAAAGCATATGAAAAACAACACATTCGAGAGTTTAAGCTATGTCATTTTCTAAGAAAAAAATATAAATTAATTTGATAAAGACTTTAATATTTTATCACTGGAGTCTCTCTTGGTTTAGAAATACCATCCCCACTGCCAAATGGCTTGCAGTCCCAAAGTCTCGACAGTGTGTAGATGATGCTCAAAGTGGACAGATTTTGTGTGCGCATTGACATTTGGCTCTATCTGTTAAGTCATTGAGTCATCGTAATTTACACCTCCCCAAATACTTTGTCGGACTGGAGTGAGGGGCTATTAGGGTTGATGATTCAATTTTTTGAGAGAAGAAAAGACATAGAATAGTTATCGAACTTTCTATTGAGTCTTGTACCATCTTTAATTGTATATCAAAATTTATTCTTACATTTTATGAAGTTTTTTTATTTTTTATTTTTTACTTAACTAGGCTCCATAAAATTTTGTACATATACTCACATAACATCCCTTGTTCTTAATTCTTATAGTTACGTTATTTCGATTAAAAAATAAGAATTCAAAAAGATTGAATATCGTACAACATTTATAAAAATTTTGAAGACTTTGAGGTTGGCAAAGGACTTATTATATAATTTTTTTAGGGAAAATTGCATCTTTAGTTCATGAGTTATAACCAAGTTCCGACTCAGTCCTTTAAATTATGGCTATATCCAAATTTAGTCCATCAGTTTTGAGCGAAGTGGCGAATTTGGTTCCTAGCGTTAATATGCCGTCTGCAACTAACAGAAAACACAAAAACGATTTGATAGTAGAGGGATAAAATAGGAATTTCAAATTATAATCTCATTCTTATGTTGAAACTCATTGCGCAAAAAATCATTCTCTTCTTCTTATACCTACAATCGAAGGTCTTTTTCTTCCTCAAGCTCTGAAATATCAAATTCGTCCACTTTCAAGTTGCGGAATTCACAGGTAATATAAGTTGTTTCTCTATTTTATATGTTTAAATAAATAATCAATATTCTTCGTATTGGTGAACTAATGTAACCATTAATTATAGGATCTCATCTCTTAGTTGTGGTACTTCATCTTTCCTTCAATTTGGGGATAATTTTCGATGTAGATGTGATGATTTATTACCCATCGAAATGTCATAGAGTTATGCTAATCGAGGGAAAAGATATCAAGCTTGTCCATGTTATGGAACAAATTGTTGTATTTGTCAAAAAATTGTAATTGAAGTTTTTTTTTTTTTTATATAAATAGAATTGAAAAATTGGAATTTGATCTTTTAGAAAAACGGGAGTATGGTTTCTTCGCTGATTATATAACCGACTTAGGGCTTTTGTCGATTTGAGGAAAGTATTTTGGCTAAGTTTACAAGTTTTATTAAAGAATTTACTTCTTTACCCCTATTATTAACTTCGTCAACACACCACTAGCGTCAGGGACCAAACTCGCAACTTAGCTCATAACTAAGGGACTAAACTCAAATATAGCCATAACTTAGGGACTGAGTCGGAACTTTGTTATAACTCATGGACTAAAGATGCAATTTTTCCATTTTCTTTTTAAAAATAGTGTAGCTGTGTATATGAATTCATCATTTTTTTTATGCGCTTGAAATTTAGCAAAACAAACAATTAAAAGTTCGCAAGATGTTAGATGCAATTTACAATAGAGTTAATACCCAAAATCGTCCTCGACTATAGTGGTTTTTCTCAATTTCGTCCTAAACAACTTTGTCGACCTAATATCGTCCCAGACTTTTGTGTTTCGCTCAATTTAGTCCTCCATTTGTTATTCTGTCAAATTGGTGTTAAATAAAGGGACAATTCAGTAATGTCAATATTGATCTCTCTTTACTTTCAACTTGTGAAGTGCGAAATTCCTCTTTCTTGTACGAATTACAACCAGAATTATTCCCGGACCTGCAAATCAAATTTTATATTCGCAGTTTTAGGAGTAATTCTGGGAGTAATTCGTAAAAAAAAAAAAAAGATTTCGCAGTTCACATGTCTATGAGTAAAGAGATGCCAATATTAAAATTACTGAATTGTCTATTTATTTAACACCAAATGGACAGAATAACAAATGAAGGACTAAATTGAGCAAAAACACAAAAGTCTGGGACTAAATTGAGCGAAACACAAAAGTCTGGGACGATATTAGGTCACCAAAGTCGTTTAGGATGAAATTGAGAAAAACCACTATAGTCGAGGACGATTTTGGGTATTAACTCATTTACAATATTAAGGGATCTATATGTGCGAGGCCAAGAAACCTCAGGGGGTCAAAATGAAATTATCCCAGTATTTATTTGGACACAATTTTATTTTTTAAAAAAATAAAGAAGTTAATTCATTAATTATAGGGTGAAACGTTTACAATAAAGATCGATGGAATGGTTAAACATTCCTTACAGTCATATATAGAAACAACTTTCGTAGCAATGCTAAAAAAAATTGATTCGCAAACTGTTTCACAAATTTAAAGCTGGATTTTTTAGAAAACTTAAAGGTTCTTTAATGATTTGGTCAAACGTACCTAAGACAGACAATGGTTGAACAGTCTCATACCACCTGAGTATCTATTTCCATTCTTCTATCCATTGACAATATCTCCATCCGGCTGAACTGCATATCATAATTCAGATGAGTCTCTTTTTCATTGTCATGTTTATCACTCAGGATGAGATTCACATACGCCATGGCCAACTATATCGTTTCGCGCTTTATGAAAAAAGAACTCGCCAAGTAAACGAGAGGAAGTAACTCGTCAAAACAACTAGAGAAAAACACAGAAACGACAAACAAAATTAAACTAGTAAAACAATGTAAAAGGAAATAACCGTGCGCAAGGGGGAATGAAAGAAAAAATGGTGAACGCAGAGAAAACAATGATGACGGATGCTTTTGCGGTGGGAGGACGACAGAAAAAGACGATTGGACGCCGCCTCCGATCTGCTTATTGCGACCATGTAGGAAGTTATTTGGACACAATTTAATTGTGCAGAAATAAATAAATAAATAAACAAATAAAATCTCGAAAATGACCGATATTTCGTGGACGCATTACTAGTGCAATCTGCACACGGCATCTTCGCCATTGTATTTTAATTTCCTTAGCGTTCTAATTTTCTTGGATTTTATTATGATTTAAAAAATAATAATATTACATATACTCTTTAAAAAAAAAAAAAAAAAAAAAAAAAAAAACTTAATTTGTTCGTATGCTAACTTGACGCAAATTATAATTCATATTGCAAGATGTATCCGAGTCTAAATGTTCACAATTTATCTTTTAAAAATTTACAATTTGTATATTACGAACACAAATTCACAATTTGGTGTACGAATATTATTTTATTTTTCTTTATTGAAAGGGGAAGGAGAAGAAAGAAAAGAAAATTATGGTGTAATGTGGTAATGAGTAGTTGTCGGTGGAATGGATAAATGAGCGTTGACACTTCACAAATGACAACAAACGAAATTTACTAAAATAAGTTGAAGATTTTTTGAGGTTGTAAATTGAGATGGCGTACCCACTGCACGCCCACCGCATGCCCCACCATTGTTGCTAATAATAATCCAACAGGATAACCATGCCTTAATAATCAAATCTTCATTTTTTTAAAAATTTTATATTTGATTTAATGGTAGGATGTGCGTGCTGTCGTGGTATCAATTCGGTTTCAATCTTAATCCATTATTGTTTTTTCGATGTTGCATTATTTTAAGCAGTATGAATTAAATCAAGAATTAATTTTGTCCATGTATTATTTTTATAGAGCTTTTGCATAGCATAATATTAATTTACTTACGTGGCATTGTTAAGTATGTGGACAAATTTATTTGCAATTTGTGTAGATCAAAGTCAAATAATTTGGAATGTTTTTAAATAAATAAAATTTGAATTAGTGTATATATAGTATATAAGAGTTAATTTCATTTTTTATTCTAGATTTATAGGTGGTCGTTCACTTTTAGTCTTCTTTTTTTTTTTTTT